AGTGTTATCAATATATATGCAATAGATTTCACCAATTATCCAACTCATTCAGCAAAAAATTTTTTTTTAATTTTCTTAATTAAAACTTTTTGGTAAATTTGGTAGCAACCTATAAAAATAAAAAAAATAAAATAAAAACATGTAAGCTACTATTAAATCCAAGGTAACAAGACTAGGGGGTGTCCCGTTTTAATTTCGAAAAAAAAGTTTTTTGGCCCAGCCTAGTGGACAGTGCAAATAATGAACAATAATTAGATTTATATTAGGCTGCACCACTATGATTGAGCTGATGATGTTTGTAGAATATATAGGGGAATATAAGGCTGGGAACGCTACAATAGAACTAAAAACGCAGAATCGTAGAGAATGACCACATCTACCAGATTGCCGAATCTAAATCACACCGGATCATTATTATAGCCAGAATAAAGAAATTAATTTTGAATTGCTTGCCCCACCTCCTCCAGCACGAGACCACGCTTCTCATTCTCTTTCTCGCTCGCTCACACTCTGCCCTGAGCATGCCATGGCCTGTGTATGTAGAATCTACATTTTAGATATGTTCTTACCATTGCCACTGTCTTCTGCCAGCCCCACTTTACAATCACTGAAGATCAGTTCATGAACTTATTCAATACTCTAGGGGCGCAAGCACATAGAAGCCAAGAAGACGCATCTAACAAATAAAGCAAGTAACCTCCGCTGGCTAATAAATACTCGCTCTCCCCTTAGCTTGGACTATACAGTCCTCCTGTAAAACTCCTTGCTGAAGCCAATCTGGACCTATGGCTCCGAGTTATGGGGCAACGCAAGCAGAAGCAACATCGACAATATCCAGTGAGCACAATCCAGAATCCTCGGGCACCATGGTAACACCGGTACGAAAATATCCACAGAGACTTGAACATGAAACTCGTAAAAGAGGAGATACTGGAACAAAAATCAAAACATCAAGCAAAGCTCTTCCCATCCAAATCCCCTTGCAAGATTTCTGCTCGGAGTTTGCAGTCACAGCCGATTACAGCGAAACGATCAGCCAGCCCAGCGACAAACATTCTTATAGGGCCGTTTAACACTTATACAAATAATTAACTAATTGTAAAAGAAATTCAAATAAGATATGATTACCTTTTTTTAGCCCCCCATACTTACAAGTGAATATACAAAAATAAAATTTTTTTAATAAAAAAAAAACGTAACATTTGTCCTTTTGCTAATGCGGGATCCTAAAACTTTCCGTTTTCAAAAGAAAATAAAAATTTTTTTGCGAAAGTGAAAACCGAGCCTGCCTGTGCATCTAGCTATTTTCGCTATTTGCATAGCTCACTGTACATAAAAATTGCTTTCGCATATGCATTCGCACGGCAGCGGCCCGTTTCGTTCCCGCACTTTTTTTGCGCTCTAGTTAACGTTCGTGCTCAGCTTAGCAAAAGCCCCGAGCTGCTCTTACGCTCTATTTCTATCACACTTGCAATTTGGCCCGTCAGCCCTGCAGTTAGTCTAGAGCTGATCGTCATAACCATCAATGGTTAAATCATTCTTGCAATTTGTTATACAAATTTCATTGAACCTGCCCGACTTTTTATAAAATTTCAACAAATTGTAAAATAAATTCAAATAAGATATGATTACCTTTTTTTAGCTCAACCCCCCCATTGAACGGCTGGATGAGTGTGTAGAATCCTATGGAGCGAGCCCCGAGCAGCCATGTCCAGATTACTAACCAACACGACGGAAGAATGGTTAAGAACGTTCCAGATGCAAAGGAAGCCCTGGAACGAATTCCGGAAGGAGTTCTTAAATTTCTTTTTGCCCCCTAGGTATTTTCAGCGACTAGAAGATACGATCCGAAGCCGGTACCAACGACCCAATGAGGCATTTCAGGATTACCTGATCGACCTCCGACTCATGATGCAACGAGCCTAATATACTCCGGACAGAAAGCTAGACATGATATACGAAAACCTTATGCCCGTATATCAACTGTTCACCCGGAGACACGAGTTCGAGACATTGACATTGATACTGGCATATGAGACGACTCGGAACCGCGGACAAACCCACCCAACTAGCAACCACACGGATACCAAACCCAGAGTGCCACCGTACCTAGGGCAACTAGGACAATGCTTACGACACGATTCGACCATGCCAGACCCAGCAATGCCCACGTTACAACGCATTCAAACATCGACCAAGCCAGACTTCAAAGCACAGACACCACAAGGATGACATCAGGATTGGATCATGCCAGACCCAGTAACGGAATTTCGACGTAGACGACTGCGACACCGCTGGATGCACCCAGGGCCAGTCCGGCTGCTGACAACTCAACGCCACGAGCACACAGGATCAACGGGACTACGGCGAAGAGAACTGCGACACCGCTGGGCACTTCCAGGGCCATCCACCCGACAATAATCTGTGAGAGGTATTCCGGAGGCTGCGAGAAGCGAATCTGAGACTGAACCAGAACAAATGAATGTTCTTCCAAAAGAGCATTGTCTATCTGGGACATGTCATTTGCGAACAAGGAACCCCAAACGACCCAGAGAAGAGTGTGGCAGTCCGGAAGTTAACACCCCCGGGGTACAATTAAAAAGCTGAGACGCTGTATGGAAATTTCGCTACGATCGTGCAACTAATGACCAGCCTCCTTAGACAAACCGTGGATCTGGGAAGAGAAGCAATAGAAAGCATTTGAAGACCTGAAAGAGAAATTGACACAAGCAACCGTCTTAGCATGCCCAGACTTCACAGAAAGGTTTACGCTACAATTCGACACCAGTTCCTACGGTTTAGGTACGGTCTTAACACCGGACTATCAGAAAGTTAAGGTGCTACTTAGTAGTCGTAGTTATTTATTTTTGTATACACAAATAACATTATATAAAAGCTTGGTTCATACCGTCGCTTTTCTATCCTAATATATATAAATATGTCGGATAATAATAATATTCCCAGTGTAGTTTGGTCTGTCGGGTGCCTACAAATCCCCTTTGTGATTGTTCTCAGTGTATTATCACTTTTTCCTTTTTACTTCGCTCTTTGTCGTATGTTTCATCTCCTTGCCCGAGTTGCAGTTATTTCTATGTCGGGCCAGGTGTTCATTAGCGAGTTTATTCTGAGAAACTCGCTCGGAGAGGATAAAAGGAACGAGAGAAAGGGAGCGCACATCGAGCGTGTTCCACTGCGGTGGTGAGTATGAGGGAGGCAGATATAGAGACCAAAGAGAAATTGCGTTACGAGTAATAATTGTTTCGGAGCTCTGGTTTGCAATACCGAGAAAGTAGTTGCGTTGGAGAGTTTGCCCACACCACGAGCCAAGCGGAGCAATTCTCTGTTGACGTAGAACCCTTGTTAAAATGGCAGAACCAACCCAGGAAAATATTAATCCAACAAATATATATTACAATAATAGTTAAATAATAAAAATAGGACAAGACAAATGTGTTACATTTGATCGTGTTTTAAAAATCTTCGCTAATTACACTAATCGACATAACTGAACTTTTTTTCCGCTTCGAACCAAACAGACTTTATCTGATAGACTTTACATTTTTTTAATGAATTATGGTTTTTTTCAGAGGTAGCGCTTTTTTCATATGATGTGATTTTCGGAGGTTCGGTCAACCAATTTTAGATCCGCCATCTCTCCATAGATTTTAATGAGGAATACCTTAGACGACGACGCTGCATTTCTTAGCTTTTCAGAAAGGCAAAGTTTTTTTTACAGCCAAATGAAGGATACTTAAGTTATGTGAAAAAGAGAAGCGCTACCTCTGAAAACAGGTTTTAAAAAATTAACAGTTTTCAAAAATTCTTCAAAAAAAGTTCTGCCATAGAAATAAAAAATGATCACTAAGCATGTTTAAAGCCCCAAATCTATCAAAAAAAGTTGGTTTGGTTCGACAAGGCGAAATGGTGTTATTTTTCTCCTATATATCATAACCCTTTTGATGCAGTGTCCCAATCGGTCCATCCCATATAACCATTAAACGCTGCACGAACTTTCTCTTCAAGAGTCTGTAAAAGCCATTCGCAGTTTTATAGTCCAGAGTCTATAAACGCGCCAATCGCTTGACCTATCCATGTTGGTGTTCCGGTCCTGAATGTTCCTTTTAAAGATTCTGAGTAGTTTCACACTAGTGGCATTCCATTGTGAGTGAGTTGAATTGCACTCAAAAGTAACTTCTGCTCAAATGCGCGTAACTCATTGACGTCTACTTCGAGCCTCTCTCTACACTGTGTGCTCTGTACCGATTCCTGCATTGATCTCTGGCAAGGCGTCCACAGGTAATCACTATATTAGCAGTAGTCCGTCTCTCTGGTAATTTTTTGGGTCTTGTCGAGACTCCCGAGTGTCCAAACGCGGATGGTTTTCATTGTTTCTCATTCTCAGCCTGAGTTTTGTCACCATGAGACCTCTCGCCTAAAGCAACTAGAACCATATGATTTTGTGTGGCCACATTTACCCAATGTGGCTCTACTTCCGCCTTGAGTAGCTGTTGCTGGAAGTGTTTGTGGAGCGGTTTTCTGCTTTGGCTTATTTTCCTTGCTCAACGGAAAAGTTCAACTTATGATTCTCCCTCTTAAGAGCAGGCTATTGCTATCTGTTATCTGTTTAACACACGCCAGTCAGTGACTCTGAGGAACTGTGTAGAACCCAATAGTTGGGTTGGAATCTCCCTTAGCTTTGGCCATTTTACAGTGTATTCATCCTCGGTTTAAAATTATTAGCCACAACGTCCTCTAGAATGGAGACTTCGAATATCCACACGGCAAGATTACTATATTATCGGATATGATTTCGTCTCTGACCGGGTCACGTACGGTCTTCTGCTCGAGGGTTAATCCGCCAAGCTAGAAGCCCATATCTCGGTAAGGCACTGGAGGTTGCCATGCATCTGGAGTCACGCCGTTAAACTTAGTGCCATTCATTTCATAGGCACGGTAAGTGGGAACATCTATGTCCTCTAAAATTGTAGGAGTGTAGACTGTTTGCGCGGCTTTCTAATTTTATTTTCCTTAATTCATTGTGCTTTCTCCAAGTCAGTCGCTTATCGAGGTATTTGCCAAGACTAGTAAGATATTTCGTTAATGTCGGGCAGCTTCATATGTTCAGTTTGAAGTTATCTGCTTGCCTTTTGCTTAGTTATTTTGATGTGCCAATCTGGTGCTACAAAATAGTTTTCAAGTTTCACAGTAAGTTTTAGACAGCATTTGGATCGACTCAGATAGCTGGGTTTTCAGCAAAATTGCCATTGTTAGCAAAGCATCACAGAAAGACCACCACTCTACCAAATGTCTTGCCTACCGCACAAAAAACTTGCTTAGCACGTCTCTTATTTTAGATATAATCATTCTACAAACAATATTAACTGAAGAGTTAAAGTTATCTTTTACAAGTCAAAGGACTAGCTTAAAGTATATTTAACTATAAATTACGTTTTTACAAGTCGCTATAATACAGAAATTATCTAAAATTTTCTAGGTCCTTCTGCTACAGCGACAGGTAAAACATTTCCAAGACTTGTTGCGGTTTTTGATGGTTTCAAAACCATATGGTTTGATCCGTTTTTTATTGTTTCTTCTTCGGCAGACTTGTTGAAATACCAATTCTTTTTATTTGCCAAAAATAATAGCATTAACGCTGGCAAATGCAGTAGCGAAAACCTAAAAAGGCTTCTCGAGCTTTTGCTATCTGATTTTTGATTAAATTTATACGCTGTAAGAAAAATATGGAAAATAGATTAGTTTATGCGTATATTAATTATATAATCAATATATATATTATATTATTTTTATAAATATAGAACGGCTACACAGTGGTCGATTCTGCCAATCTGGCAGGCAACAATTAATAACTCAAAAAATAAATGAGTAAAATTTTTAAAAATATTTTTTGTATTTTGGAATATAAATCAGCGGAGTATTTAAATAAGATTCAACATTTTAATTTTTCATTTAATACCTGCAGAATCGACCACTGTGGGCTGTCAGGCGAACATGCTCGACGGAAAATAACCATTTCTATTGCAATCATGCCATACCCTGCGCGAGAGTAATCCGGTAGCAGGTTCCATGAAAGAGCATTTAAATGACGGAACTGCCACGCAAATTCCAGCCAGTTCCATTGCGCCTGAATCAAGATTGCCAGCGCAACCGGTCCAGCCCATTAAAGGTTGAAGTGCGCCAACGACTGATCCTATTCATGTGTTGACTATACTTATTCGCTTCATTGGTGTTTATATTGATGTGCAAAGAAATCGACGAGCATGTTCGACTGTGGATGGCCGCCTTTGAGCAAATTTTGCATGGAGATTTTATTAAGGACTGGGTATTACTGGAATCGTAAACTTTATCATTCATATGTATATGTATGCTATTTAACATCTTGTTTGACAAACGTTATTCACCCTCATAGCTTTTTTACAAATGCTAGACACGACAGAATACATACGTATGTATTTCGTTGATATAATTATGTACTATAATCTTTGGCTCCAAAAGTAGCATTAAATTTGTACACAATTACTTAAATGCTTTTACTTACCCAAATATGCGAAATACGCGTTTAAAGGAATTGTTTCCAAAGCAAACCAATAGTTTGTAACGTCTAGAACCGGCGCCATTAATGAAAGTCCGACAATGACTAGTGAATATCGCAGCGCTGTACGACGACAAAGACTCGGATTAGTAACCGCCATCATGCGATACCCTGCTCGAGAGTAATCCGGTCGCAGGTTCCATGAAAGAGCATTAAAATGAGGGAACTGCCACGCAAATAGTATTCCAGCCAGTATCATTGCGCCTGAATCAAGATTGCCAGCGCAACCGGACCAGCCCATTAAAGGTGGAATTGCGCCGACGACTGATCCTACCCATGTGTTGACTATACTTATTCGCTTCATTGGTGTATATATTGATGTGTAAAGAAAAAGATTTCCAGCTCCTAATGCCGCTGTTAGTCCATTAACACCAAAATACAACATGCATAGTCCAGTTGACGCGGACACAACGGCGAAAGAGACTGCTTTAAGTGGGGTAACTTGGCCTGTAACGAGCACACGGCTTTTGGTCCTCGACATTTGGGAATCGAAAGGAACTTCATGATATTGATTTATTGCATTAGCTGCAGCTGAAATCAGTCCTGTTCCCAATGTGCACATAGCAAATGAACTAAGATCGAACGCAGCTGGTGCCATCGCATATCCACCCATTGTGGTAACAACAACAAGAGCTGGAATATATAAATAAATATATAAACAAGTAGATCATTTAATTTTCCATTTCACGGGGAAACCTACATGTAAGCCGAAATTTTGAAAGTTTTTTGTATTGACTGATTGTTTTCCCAGTGTTAGTGCATGGACTCGGCAACCATGAAGTATAATTCTCGGGTAATATTATATTTGACTCTGGGACTATCACATTTGCATTACCAACAGGCACACAAATATCTTTCAACTGAGATACTGGTAATATTGAATTTCCACAAGACAAAACATTTCCTTTCGCTGTTATTAATCTATCATGAGATGATGTAGTTTTGGTTGTATACTGCAAATTCAAAGAGTTTTAATATGTTAAAAATTACATAACACACACAATAAGCTTACTAGAGACGATTGTAAATTAACAGGAACTACAACCTGGGTTATTAGCCTCCATTCACGTTTGACTAATACCCGTATCATTATTAGTTTTTTAAACAGAAATACCAAGATAATGGTAATACATATTTCAAACAAATCTTTAATATACAATTAATGTTTTATTTAAAGTGTTTTTTTTACTTTAAAATCACATTTGTTGAAAAATATGTGACCATTTACCAAAATAAAAAAAATACTAAAGTAATTCCTAGAACTCAACTCAGTACCACTAACCATACAGTATATAGATGTGCAAGTTCATACAACGAAAGGGGCGCAGCTGAGTTTGCAGCGTACGTTCCCAGGTCTTCGGCTCTGGGGCCGATCGCGTTCGGCTCTGGGAATGACCGCGTTCGGCTCATGACGTGACACGAGCCAACGGACAGCAAGCATGTATGTGTTTTTGGGTAATATTTTGTATATTTTTGGGTAAATATACATTAAACGAGAAGGAACGTGTGAGTCGGGGTTGCTCGCGCACTGAGCGCGGCAGAGTGTGCGAGGGAGAAGGAAAATGAGTTGCGTTGTTGTTATACCCGTACTCAAAAAAGAGTTAAGGGGTATATTAGATTTGTGGTAAAAGTGGATATGTGTAACGCAGAGAAGGAAACGTTTCCGACCCCATAAAGTATATATATTCTTGATCAGCATCAATAGCCGAGTCGATATAGCCATGTCCGTCTGTCCGTCCGTCCGTCTGTCCGTCTTGATGAGCGCCTAGATCTCAGAGACTATAAGAGCTAGAGCAACCAAATTTTGTTTCCAGACTCATGTAATATCACACTGCTACAAGTGTATTTTAAAATTTCGCCCCGCCCCCTTCCGCCACCATAAAAGACGAAAATCTGTGGCAGGCACAATTTTAAAGATACTATAAAACTAAAAACGCAGTATCGTAGAAAATGACCATATCTACCAGATTGCCGAATCTGAATCAGATCGGATCATAATTATAGCCAGAATGAAGAAATGAATTTTCTGTTGTTTCCCCCCACCCCATCCAACAAACGAGAAGGAACGTGTGAGTCGCTTCTGCCACAGATTTTCGTTCTTTGTGGGGGCGGAAGGGGGCGGGGCGAAATTTTGAAATACACTTGTAGCAGTGGGATATCACATGAGTCTGGAAACCAAATTTGGTTGCCCTAGCTCTTATAGTCTCTGAGATCTAGGCGCTCATCGAGACAGACAGACAGACAGACAGACAGACGGACAGACAGACAGACATAGCTATATCGACTCGGCTATTGATGCTGATCAAGAATATATATATACTTTATGGGGTCGGAAACGTTTCCTTCTATGCGTTGCACACATCCACTTTTACCACAAATCTAATATACCCCTTAACTCTTTTTTGAGTACGGGTATAAAAACGAGAAGGAACGTGTGAGTCGCTTCTGGGGATTCGACTCTACTTATACCCGTACTCAGTCAGTATAAGCATAAGATTTTTTAGAATTTTAGAATTAAAAAAAATTTTACATATTACATTTCTTTGCTACATCTACAATGTATATTTTACATCTAACATGTAGATTATAGATGTACCATTTATATTCTACATCTCCTCTGCCCATTCCTCAGTTATATTGCGGCAGGTCAGCTCAGGTTGCTACATCAGGCCTCAAAACAAAACGAAAAACCAATTCAAGCGGCAAAAAATTGTAGAGCCCACTCACAAGCACAGTATGTGTGAATACATGACACACACACATTTACGCAACCTGGAAACGAAACTCAAAACAAAGTCAAAACGGTTTCGGAAAATAAGAATTCATAAATATTTGGTCGTGTCTGCGTACACACATACATTTGCAATTCTCGGCTTGCTTTCGCATCTCGTCATGAATCGAACATGTCGCAGGCCCACGACCCGAACGTCTTAGCACCAAAGCCGAATGGTCCATGTCTTCGGCTAGGGTGCTGGGACAGAAACCTCAGCTGCGCCCCTTTCGTTTTATGAACTGGCACATCTATATACTGTATGGTTAGTGGTAAGGCCATAATAAGCGATGAATTTCCCTTGAAAAGTAAGGCCTTAATAAGCGATGAATTTCCCTTAAAAAGTAAGGCCCTAATAAGTGATGTATTTAAGTAAAAAATTTTGATATTTTGAGGAAAAAGGCATGGGTAAATTCTGTTTTAAAATATTAAATTTCTTTTATTTATTGTATTCTTGTAAAAATGCATACATACTCACATTTTTGTGCTGTGTGTTCGTTTTTCCACAGAACCTTTTTAGTTTTTTTGATTTGCTCATGTTCGTAAGGCCGTCGTGGTCATTCCGGGCACTTCTACTGAATCGCCTTTAAAATAGGATGGGTTAATTAAAATATTTTTCAATTTGTTAACAATGCTCTCAGTAGCAGCAGTGCATTTGCGACAAAAACAAAACACCCGCCAAGATATGTACCTGTTCGACTCAAGACTCGCAAGAACCACTCAAGAACCACTCGAGTGGTCGCGTGAATCGCGACGTCGACGTCATATTCTACTCGTCTGTCGCAGCGACAGAGAAAAAATCCTGAATGACGCGTAGGTGACATTTTTCATCGCTCACTTCTGGTACTGCAGGGAATATACCCTTCACTTTATAAGTGTAAGTTACTTTTGCAAGACGCTTACCATCCCAATATTAAAAAACTCTTATATTGTATATACATATACATATATAAAAATACATAATATATTCAATACATGACTTCACATTGGAATAATGGTCATAAGGGTATTCAGCGTGCGACGTATTCAACGCCGGTAAATAATTTCGTTTCTCAACTCATAAAAAGGTTTCCGTCTCGAAAATCGTCCGCTTAGCACAAGTACGCACACATATTTTTAGATTCGTACGCTCTCAAATTTGTGCGAGCGAGATGGCGCGAATTTCGTCGCTTGCCGAAAAATTGGCTTGCATATGGCAATTGAAATGTATGAGCGTTACGCATCTTATACTTATATTGTCTTTGGTCAGACGGACAGGCAGACATGGCTCTATCGACTCGGCTATTGATGCTGATCAAGAATATATATACTTTATGTGGTCGGAAACGTTTCCTTCTCTGCCTTAGACACATCCAATTTTACCACAAATCTAATATACCCCTTATTTCTTTTTTGAGTACGGGTATAAAAATTTAATTCGTCGGGTTTTTCAAATAATATTAAAACTTAGAAACTAGTTCATATTCATAATAAGGTATTTTTTGTTTTTTGCTAGTTACTGTTAAAAAATTAACGATTGGTGAAAATCAAGAAGTTCAGCTGAGGTTGATATATTTAGTTAACTAGTTCGCAAAAACTTGTGCAGGTTTCTTACTGCCAATAACTGATTAATGACGATATGAATGTTATCAATATATATGCAATAGATTTCACCAATTATCCAACTCATTCAGCAAAAAAATTCGGTAGCAACCTCTAAAAAATAAAATAAAATCATGTAAATTACTATTAAATCCAAGGTAACAAAACTAGGGGGTGTCCCGTTTTAATTTCGAAAAATAAGTTTTTTGGCCCAGCCTAATGTATATGTTTATATATTTACAAACATCTATAAATGTAAATGCAGTTTTCAGAAAAATATAAGTTAATTTATTGACAAAGTTGATATTACGGCAGCAACGAAGTCGAACAAAAAAACCTGTCTAAAATAGGGATATGTAAATGTGCAATATCAAATAAATCAAACAATTAATATATTTTATTTTTATATATTGTATTTATTTCCCACCCCCACTTTGCCATTTCCTCATTCATGTTGCGGCAGATCAGCTCAGGTCGCTACATCAGCCCTCAAAACAAACCGACAAACGAATTTAGTTCGGGTCGTGGACCTGAGACGTTCGGCATTTTTTCGACATGTTCAATTCATGACGAGATACGAAAGCAAGCCGAGAATTGCAAATGTATCTGTGTACATAGGCACGACAAAATATTTATCAAGTCTTATTTTCCGAAACCGTTTTGAGTTTGTGTTGAGTTTCGTTTCCAGGCGATTCGTAAATGTGTGTGTGCCATGTATTCACACATACTGTGCCTGTGTGTGGTCTCTACAATTTTTGGCCGCTTGAACTGAATTTCTGTTTTCCGTTATGTTTTGAAGGGCTGATGTTGCGTCAGGCGCCTGGGCTATTTCTTCCATTTTCCCTTAGGCTAGCCTTTGCCTCTGCTTTCGGCTTTGTCAAAGCCCGCGTCGAGTCGAGCGACAGAATACACCAGCAAAATATGAACTCTACCGACGGGAATTGGTCCATGTCCGGATTAGCAGTTGCCTAGGGACCCCTAAACGAAAAATATGTTGAAAAAACAAAACTCCAAATAATGGATAAAAATATAATAGCCACTGATAAACATACAAATTAATCAAACAAATATAAAATTTATAAGTTTTTATTTTAAATGAAAAAAGAAGGGAGCTGGCGAGAAAAAATGGAGGGCCCCAGATTGATGGTTTCCCAGGACCCGGTTGAAGATTGATCCCCTGGTCCTGAATAGGTCGATTTTGGTTTTAAACTTTAAAATTTACAGTTGTTATTTGTTTGTACTGTGTGTATTTACAGTGGCGAAAAGTGGTGGAAAAATTAAAAAATATTTTATGAACGCTTTGAATAAAATAAATGTACACATCTACTAGAACATTTTCCAGAGATATAGCGAATCTAATTTTCAAGATAATTTTAGTTTAGGAGATATGAGCAGAGATAACATCCTTTATTTTCAAATATTTTATTTATTTCCCACCCCCACCCACTCTGCCCACTCCTCATTTGTGTTGCGGCAGGTCAGCTCTGATCGCAACATCAGCCCTCAAAACAAAACGAAAAACCGAAATTCAGTTCAAGCGGCAAAAAATTGTAGAGACCACACACAAGCACAGTATGTGTGAATACATGGCACACACACATTAACGAATCCCCTGGAAACGAAACTCAACACAAACTCAAAACGTTTTCGGAAAATAAGACTTGATAAATATTTTGTCGTGCCTGTGTACACAGATACATTTGCAATTCTCGGCTTGCTTTCGTATCTCGTCATGAATCGAAAATGTCGGAAAAATGCCGAACGTCTCAGGTCCACACCCGAAAGTCTCAGGTCCGCGACCCGAACGTCTCAGTTCCAGCAGCCGAAAACCTGGGGACCTGGGACAGAAAACTCAGCTGCGACACGTTCGGTGTATGAACTGGCACATCTATATACTGTACGGTTAGTGGTTCGGTGTATGAACTCGCACATCTATATACTGTATGGTTAGTGGCAGAATCCACAAACTTTTATCGATAGTTGCCTATCGGGACACTGTTTGGAGTGGGAGAACAGCTCAGGAATATATGTTCAACCATTATTCCTGAAGTGAAAACTAAGAGTTGCCCTTTTTGGTTTTTTGGAGCAATATATGCCGCCAAAAAACATAATTACTGCATCGTCAGAGATAATTTTTTTGTCTTTATCAATTTTGAATTTGAATTTTCTCAATTGGCATTGTTTACATTGTTTACAGCTGATTCCTCAGCCTATTTTGGAAATTTTCAACACACTCACTGAATAACGAGCAAATTCCTGGCAGGAATTTTCTGCAGTGCTGGAGAAAGACCTTTAAACAATGGAAATTTTCGTTGATGTGTTTGAAGTGTAGTGGAATACAAACTTGTATTTGTTCAAGACATTAATGGCCATATGACATGAGAATTTGGTAACTGACTAGCTGGAAAAAGAGCGATAGCCTTATGTGAATGCCTGCAGTCAGAGCGCTTGAAGTATATGTTTCAAACTGACTTCCAAGTTGAGCTTGGAGCAGCGTTGCGACAGAATTAATCGATTGTTTTTTTTTTTTGCGAATACAATTGTGCTTGCTTGGTGGCTGTGTTTTTCTGGAAAACATAAACATAAAGTATCAAGTCGTGATTCAGTTGTTCGACTGAAAGCCATTAGATATGTCTAGAGACTTCTACAAACAATAATGTTGCATTTTGTCTCCCATGCTATCCCTCTCTACAAAATTTTCTAATAGCCTTTTTCTACTGGGCGCGTCTGCTATCGATATTGGAATAGACGCAATGAAGACGTGCGTCTTGAATTTTGATTTGGGTGGTTCATGACAAGGGAAGAAAAACAAATTTTGGAAAGTCAACAGAAATATGCAAGACGACAAGAAAATGGACAAAGGAGAATTGATTCTCATATTTATTTATTATTTTCAGACATTTCTTTGTAGAGTTTTTGGGAGTTCTTCTTCAAATTATGAAAACCATCGATGTACGTCTCCAGCAGTGTCTTAATGGCATCAGGGGGTCACAAATATGTCGTATGATAATAACACAATCAGTTTCAATTATTTTATTTAATGATTTTATGCATATTTTCACCTTTTTGCACAACCATAAATTTTTAGCGCCAAATTAAATTTTTTATCTACAAGTTTTTGTTGTTATTAGTGGTGATAGGTTCGCTGATAGGCAGAAAAGTGCAAAAATGTGCTGTTAAACGCACATGAAACAGAGACTGACGCAACTTTTTGCTACCACTTAGCCTATGCTTAACCTATGTAAGAAAAACTGCGTCTCCGGCAAGACACAAAGAAGCATGACGCAGCCCCAATGTAAACAGCCTATAAGTTTAATTTTATAACACTTTAACCATTTGGAGGTCATGCGATATGACTAAAAATATCGCGATATGATATCACAAGCGTGACTATCGCATAAACGTCAATCTGGTATTTTTTAAAACAGAAAATTGTCATGTCAACCCTGTTCATACTCCATTGCTAATGGCAACAATCATTCCAAACAAATTGATTGACGTAAAAATTTAGAATAGTTTTGTATTCATGTTCGTAGTTTGTACGAGCTTCGGATGTGCTAAATTTTTTGGCCAGCACTCACTGGTCATATACTAAATTTAAAAAGCAATATTTTGCGGAACAACACGGTCAATTCAATCGCAGAATGTTCAAAAATACTTTTCAATCTGGATTTTTATCAATTCTCTACAGCATTGGATCCAAGCCTCTTCAGCTTTGGGACAAGAAAGTTCGCAATGGACATATAAAACGTATAACTGACAATGACATACAGAGTCTGGTTCTGGAAATAGTTGGTACCAACGTAAGCACTACATTTATAACATGTCCAGCGGATCCAAAGAAGACGCTCGGTATAAAATTGCCATTTCTTGTAATGATTATTAAGAATATGAAGAAATACTTTACATTCGAAGTGCAGGTAATATATTTGATGCGATGCAGCTGTTTGTATGGTATTCTTTACATAGAATTTGTAGGTTCTGGATGATAAAAATGTTCGCCGCAGGTTTCGAGCCAGCAACTATCAATCAACTACTCGCGTCAAGCCATTTATTTGCACGATGCCCATGCGACTGGATGAGGGATGGAATCAAATTCAATTTAACCTGTCTGACTTTACACGGCGCGCCTATGGCACAAACTACGTGGAAACTCTACGCGTCCAAATCCACGCAAACTGCCGTATACGACGCGTGTATTTTTCTGATCGTCTTTATTCAGAAGACGAATTGCCGCCAGAATTTAAGTTGTTCCTACCAATTCAAAAACCAGTACAAAAGTCCAACGCTATTTGCGGCTAGGTTCTTTCCGACGATGAAATTGCATCCATAATCAACTACATATAACACCAAATATCCAATGTTTATAAGAGCCCCATTTGCAAAATGTAATTTCACTCATATATACATTTTAATGAACAAAATAGGCAAATATATTCAAATATTGAAAAATAAATTTAGATACATCAACTTATTAATGGACCTTTGTAAGTATTTCTGCTCCTGCCTCTGTAATAAGTATGGTGTGTTCAAATTGTGCGCTTCGTGCACCATCCAGGCTGATTGCAGTCCATCCATCTTCCAACAAAGCTATGTCCGATTCACCAAGAGTTAGAATTGGTTCAATGGTAAACGTCATACCAGGGCGCATTTTACCTCCAATGTTATTATCTAAAAATGAATGTTTTTATATTACCGTACAATTAAGAATTTAAAATGTTGCATACGGTAATGATAAATTTCTGGAGGTCCGTGGAAATAACTACCAATCCCATGTCCAATAAAAGCAACTATTGATTCAAGTTTTTTTTCTTTACAATATTGTTGTATAAACTTCCCGATTTTATTAAAAGCGACGTCTGGACCACAAAGGGAAATGCCCATATCTAAGCAGGTCCTTGTGGCCTCAACAAGGTAGCGGCCATGTTCATCTACATTGCCAACTAGGAAGGTTTCTGAACAGTCCCCATGGTAACCATTGAGGTAAACGGTAACATCAATATTTATTATATCGCCATCAATTAACTGTCGGTCATCTGGGATTCCATGGCATGCCACATTATTGATCGACGTGCAGATGGACTTTGGAAACCCTGCATACCTAAGGGGCGATGGGTATGCATTTGCTTCAAGAATAAGTTCATGTGCATGTGCGTCTATTTCATCTGTTGACTTCCCAATAATTGTTAAAGCGCCGCATTCCTGTAATATGTTAGCCGCCAGTTGTCCGCTGAGACGCATTCCTTGTATTTGATCGATATTTTTAATTTCTGGGGTCCCTATTGTGTTGCCGGGTGGCATGTTGTTGTAGTAGTACTGTGGCTTTAGTATCCGTTGAGGAACAATCCTCTCCTTGGAAACCTGTCCCGGCGCATATATCCTTTCATACTTTCCTGCATCGCTGTAAAGGTTTATTATATAAACTCGTCAATTAAAGCCATTAAGTATGTGAGCACAACAATCCTATAACATACCCCTTCCAATTGTTGGTAATAAAGTTCCTTTTTAAAGACTGTTGTGATAATAACACTTTTAAAAGTATGCGCATTTTAAGTCTAATTTGGCTATGCTATTATAAAACTAATTAAATGCTGTGTAAACAAGTCACGAGTATTTTCAGATCATTGGTCGCAACAGTGACAGACTACTGTTATCCTACCTACTACTTCACCAAGTTACATATATTTCTACCTAAGATGAAGTCCACTGCTGCTATAGCTTAGTTCTAAGTTACGCGCAATTTAAAAGTTCGCGATAACACCCTAATAACAATAATAATTTTGTTACATTTCAAACGGTATCAAAAAATTCCACATCTTTGGAAGGCATTGTTCGTATGACCATTTTCCACTGATGCGCTTTTATAATCATAGTCGGAATGGACGCAATGACGCAAAATATGAGTTTACGCTGGCAGGCGCAGGCTATTGCGTCATGACAAATCTGATCTGTGTGTTTAATGACGAGGAAAGCAATAGGTTTTTTTAAATCAAAAACATTATGGAGACTACTCATGTTTATTTATTACTAGCGAACCCGGCGAACTTCGTCTCGCCCCAATTCAACACCGTCAGATAAACTTCAAAGGGATAATAAAACACAGATAGTTTAAATTTCAATATGATTATTAAAATGGAATCGAAAACAGCTCTTCAACCTTGTTATATACTACATTTTTTTGTTTGTTTATTAGGCGCAATAACAAATAGAGCAGATGATGCCACGTTCAACTGGCCATTAGAAAAAAATGGATTTTCCAAGCTTAGACCACAAACAATCAAGGATTGGCCCTGTGATTTATTAATCGTTTAAACTCAATGGGCATATCCGCTTGGATCATTGGAATCCTCGGAATAAGGACTAACTCATTTTTAAACTTTCCTTTGAGAATCGTCTCGTGAATCACATTACTCATCAGTATTCTTATCACCAAGCGCGTTCCATTGCATAGATTTGGTGGGTTTAGATTTCGAAGCATGATGAAAACCGAACCCGCCTTCCGCCTTCCATTGTGCATTCGTTCCAGACGATTTTTGACTGTACTAAAACTTTTGCCATTGCAGAGTGTTTTGCAATGTTACAGTAGTTTTCCAGTAGTTGTCAAGTAGTTGTCCAGTAGTTTGAAGATTTAATTGCAATTTGAACGCTTAATAAGCAGCACGGAATCTTTCTAACAACGTAGCCGCTATTCCAGAAGAAGCAACTGCTACCGCACTTTCTGAACGAACAGTGGCCAAAATCAATGACATGGGGAATTTCTTTCCAGTTCCACCAAGGACATCCAGAAAAAATCAGCCACCATTTCCATCATCAATTGCATTAATTTATGATACATTTATTTTCTGTTTCTTCTGTTTTGGGTTGAAACGATATGTGTAATAATTCATCGAACTAACCTTCTTGTTTGTTTCCTCACCTAAATATTAATAAAATAAAATTAGTGTTTTCGAAAAAAAGTAGGTTCGTATTCCTTGAAGAGGTAGACAGAATTTGACCACTAAGTCCCGAAGTCACTATTGGAATTCTATTTTATTTATACTTACCATTTAATGGATTATAAATCTTGATTTTAAAGTCTTCTTACCAAAATGAATCGTGTGTTTCATATATTTTTTGTAGTTCTCCAGTATTGCGTCGGGTAAGCACAATATCGCGTTTTTCCAAGCTTTCACCAACAATTAGTAATGCAACTTCATCTATTATTGGAGCTTTAAATGTGCGTTAATGTGGTCCAACTGGTCGTTTATCCGCTCTGATCACGACTTTGTAGTCATCGTTTGGCATGCGCTCTAACGAAGCCTTGAACAGACTGACTAATGCATGATTTCCTTGAAGCAGTTGCTGTAGATGTTTAAGAATTCCTCTTTTCATTGCTGTGTGGAGCTCTTGACGCCGAGCAAGTTACTCCTCCGTATTTCGCATGCAGTATATTTGTAAGAATTTATATTGTGCATAGTCAAGAGCTTGTAATGATCCATTTCGATGATTCTGTGAGTCATAGTGGAAATAGAAATATTGGAAATTGAAATTTTACTCAACATAAATTAACTTAAATGTTGGATTAAATCCGTGTTCCATCGCCCTAACTAAAGTCATTTAAAAACAGCAATTGTTTCGCCCCAAAGCAAGGAATGCAATGGCTCTGGTGGCGGAACCAATAATGGCAATTTCACTTTGCCATTAAGGCAGCATAATCCAGGCGTTTCTTCAGTGAACTTTAATGCCCCAAAATGCACGCAAACTACTTCCATTGTACCAATGAAAACAAAAGGATGCGAGCTGTAGTCAATTGTGCAATCGTATAGAAACGCTGCTCGATTCAAATCAACACTTGAAGTATTTCTTCTTGCAGTTCGATTTGTGCGATTAGCTCTACGATTTCTTCACGGACTGCCTATCTTTGCTCTTGCGTTTGAGAAGCACGAAGAACGGACATATATCGTGCCGCACCAACGCGGCGCAATGGTCGTTCTTCACCAGTTAATTGATTCGCACTGTTCCGTAGCCTTATTGGATTACGGCTCCGTTGGGAAAGATTTGATGTTCTTCGTCGCGGCATCTATATTAATCTGTATACCCATATTAATGATGATAATACTCACACAAAACACACAAACCAAAATTTTATGTAACACTTTCCAAATATTTTTTGATTTAAGCATAGTATCCAGCACCGCGTAATCGAAAAATTCCTGTCAAACTCCATATAAAAAAACCAGCAACACGAGCGGAATCCATAGATTTGTATCGATAGTTGCCTATCGGGACCGTATGTGGAATGAGAGAACAGCTGACACCCAGCTCAGGGATATAGTTATTCCTAAAGTGAATGGTGCAAGATGTAGGCAAAAATTGTCCGCAAAACTAAAAAGAGAGATGAAAATTATTCTGTTTTGTTTTGCAACAATATATGCCGCCACCAACACAATCACTTAATCATCAGAGTGCTTTTTTTTTCTTTTTTAATACTAGCAGAATTTTACAGTTGGCACTGTTTACAAAACACAGCGGATTCATCAACCCTGTTTAGCTATCTTCCACACCCTCGCGGAATAACAAGCAAATTCATGGTAGGAATTTTCCGTGGTGCTGGAGACAGGCCTTTATGTAAAACATTCCATACAGAAAATCAAGCAAACGTTTGACAGCCATGGAAAGGCTTACTCCTATACAATAATACTAACGCTTCCCGCCGCAATTTCTCGAGTCGCGGTCCTTTTTATACCCGTACTCAGAAAGAGTTAAGTGGTATATTAGAGAAGTCGATATAGCTCTCTCGCTCGCATTAGGACACGGTCGATTCGGGCGCCTGCCCTTTGATTTAGTCTTGATCTTGCAATCATATTCTGCTATTCAATCCGACACCGTCTTTTACCACCCCCGCGTCTACAGTCTGACCCCGTCTTGAATCCAGCTAACTCTCCAACCGACTCATCGTGCTCTCGTCATCAACCTAACATAAACCTATCGCTATCCCTTCGACTCTGTATCGCCTTATATACTGTCTACAACAATAAACTATATATATACTGAACAATCGTCGTCTCTTTAATAATCTCGCAAAACAACGCTACTGAAGAAGCTCAGTAGCCTAACACTGTTTGTCATGGTCTAGGATAGAGATAGCTTGAGATAGCTCTTGCTAATAGATGGTCTACTAGCAGTAGACTATCTATAGTAGATTTCCCTTTTCTGAAACCAGTTTGACTGTTTTGGATTAGTTTGTTCGTTTAATACGAACCACCATAGTTGTTTTGCTATTATTTTGTCCAGTATTTTTGATAGGCATGAGTTAAGGAAGATAGGTAGGTATGACTTCAGCATGGTTTTATCTGTGTTTGGTTTTATAATTGGTATGACAAAACTTTTTAGTAGGCTTGTGGGATGTAGCTGTTTAGTATTGTGGTTTGAAGGTTTATAATTCGGTTTTTTGATTTTATATCCAGGTTTTTTATCATAGCGTAGTTAACTCTGTCCAGTACAGGTGTATTTCCTTTTAGTGTGTTTAGTGCAGCAGTGATTTCTATTGGTGTTATTGGTTGTTCTATGTCTATTGCTCTTTTGCCGGGAATATGAGATGTTGTCAGTATTATTCAGTGATGTTTGCTTTTGGTTAATGAAGGTAATGGAGAAGTTGGTGTTGGCTGAAGCTTCTGAAAAACTTTTGCAAAATAACTCTGCGATTTCTAATTTGTGTGTGGTATTTTGATTTGTGATTGGGTTGAATATGCAGTGTATATGTTTTTGGGTGTTGAGTCCGTAGAAGCGTCGTTCAGTGCGCGAGTGTACATGTAGAATCTACATGTTAGATGTAGAATATACATTGTAGATGCAGATAAAAGATGTAGCAAAAAATGTAAAATGTAAAGTGTTTTAAAATTCTACAAAAATCATAAGCTCAAAATTGTATATACTGACGTACGCGTATAAAAGTAAAGTCGCGTCCACAGAAGCGACTCACGTTCCTTCTCGTTTCCAATGTTTTTAATAGTTATTTTGCTATTCTGGACGGAGACAAACTAAAAGAATCAAAAACCATGAAATCTGTCCAGCCGCGATTTTCCGAGCCACGGTCGCCTTTTCCACAGTTTTTCCAAGCTATTCTGTTAATCTGGATGGAGACAAATTCAACAAATCAAATACCATGAAAATCGGTCCAGCTGTTTTCGGGTTATAAGCGGTCTATTGGACACGACTTTGTTTTATATATATAGATTTTTAGTTATCTTGGTACAGGGTGTTATTCCTTAGCAGAACTGCAATATGTCTTTATTGCCTCAGGGGTTCATAACAATGTCTTTTATAATGATATAATTGGATTAAAGTATTTATTTTATATATTATAAATATATATTTTACGCTCCAATATTCGATTTTTTATCTGAAATTTGGTTGTTGTTATTAGTGATGAGATTTGCGTTGATAGGCAGAATAGTGGAGAATTGTGCTGTAAAGAGGAAAAATAATGGGATATTCCGAAAAGACGCTCGTGCATTCGAAAAAGACACAACCTTATGCCATCTTTATGCTTTGATTTATGCTTAACTAGTTTAAAAAATATTGCATCTCCGGAAAGACGCAAAGATGTATGACACAGGCCGAATTGAAACGAAATCAAAAATATTGATGACAATGATTGGCGAACGGTAGCCCCTAAAGACGAAAAGTAACCGTTTTGGTTGAAAACGTAAAACGCAAAAGTAAGTCAAAACGTACTTAAAAAAGATTTAAGGGGTATATTAGATTTGTGGTAAAAGTGGATGAGAGAAGGAAACGTTTCAGACCCCATAAAGTATATATATTTTAGATCAGCATGAAAAGACGAGTCGATAGAGCCATGTCTGTCTGTCCGTCTGTTCGTCTGATCGTCCATCCGTCCGTCTTGTTTGTCGGCTGGATCTCAGAGACTATAAGAGCTAGGGCAAATAAATTTGGTTTCCCGCACATGTGATATCACACTGCTACAAGTGTATTTCAAAATTTCGCCCCGCCCTCACAAAGAACGAAAATCTGTGGCAGGCACATTTTTAAAGATACGATAAAACTAAAACCGCAGTATCGTAGAGAATAAAACATATCTACCAGATTGCCGAATCTGAATAAGATCGGATCATAATTATAGCCAGAATGAAGAAATTAATTTTCAGTTCGCCCTCTCCCACCAGAGACCCACTACTCATTCTCTTTCTCGCTCGCGCTCTCTGCCTCTTTCAGTGCTCGAGCAACCCCTAGCGGAGGAGATGTAGAATATAAATGGTACATGTAGAATCTACAAGCTAAATGTAGAATATACATAGTAGATGTAGATAACATGTGTAGCAAAAATATGTAATTTTTTTTTTTATTCTAGATTTCTTAAAAATTATAAGCTCAAAAATGTAAATATAAGTACAGTCGCATCCCAGAAGCGATTCACACGTTCCTTCTCGTTTTTTATGAAAGTATAGTTTTATTCTTTAAGTATGTCATATACTTTGTTAGCGCGGCAGCGCTATTTTGGCTGTTTTTATACCCGGTGCTCGAAGAGTTTAGGCATATATTAGTTTTGAGGTTTTAGTGAATTGCGTAATAACTAGTAAACGTCTCCGACTCCATAAAGCATATATATTCCTGATAAGCATCAATAGCCGGCTTAATATAGCCAGGTCTGTCTGTCCGTCCGTATGTCCCTCTTGTTTGACGCTTAGTTCTCTGTGACCAGAGCAAACCAGGTTTTGTGTGCAGACCAGAGCTCGCAAATAACTGTTGACCGTTTTTCCCTTTGCGGTCTGCGCACGAACATTACCGAAAAACCTAGGCACGCTTGCTCTCTCTCTGAGCAGAGCCCTACGTTTCTCTTCGTTTTGCCCGCAAGCGGGCTTATGCAAAAGAGAGAGGGAACGAAAGAAGCGATAGAAGCTTGGGCTGCTGCTGAGCCGAGTATGAGCGATAGATAGAGTGAGTGCGACAGAACAACATAGATGCTGCAGCTATAGTAGCGAAACGAAGAAGACGATATATGCAGTGGTCAGTGCAAATAGCAAACAAAGGTAGAATTACGTTATTTTGTACCACTGGCTATTATTTGAGGAATTTGTAGGATTCGTTTGGGAATTTCCGGCTGGCAAACCAAATAGTAAGTAAAGTCCATTAAGGATAGCTGATAATTTTTTTTTAATAAATTTTTTAATTTTGTTTGAATGCCAAACATTTGAAGTCATATTTTTTAGGGTAAAAAAAAAGTTTTATTTATTAACTACTTGCGCCGCCGACCCGACATACTCCCCCCGGTTGAAGCCTTATTTTCAACAGCATCTTTAAGGGGAAGCAGACACAGCTTGTTAACGGCTCGCTTGGTGATTTCAGATGCATTCTTCAGAACAGCGACTCGGGCGACGCCATCTCTTCCGGGTAATAGCTCGACCAACCTAGCTAGTGGCCACTTCATGGGAGGCAGATTCTCAACCTTAACAAGGACCACATCTGCGACTGCCAAACTAGGCTTCGGCGTGCGCCACTTTGAGCGCTGTTGCAGTGAAATGATGTATTCTTCCTTCCATCGGGACCAGAAGATCTGCTGCAAATATGAAACGCGCTGCCATCCGTTCAGGCGATCGAAATTTAGCTGAGTTACGTCAGGCTCGGCGAACGAAGCAAGAGGTCCGCCATTCAAGAAATAAGCTGGAGTTAAAACGTCCAGATCGGCAGGATTCTCTGAAATGGATACTAAGGGTCTTGAATTAATAACTGCCGTGATGTGGCATAACAGCGTACGCAGTTCCTCAAATTCAAGCACCGAAGTGGCTATAGCACGATAGAAGTGATACTCTGCCGTTTTCACTGCAGCTTCCCACAGGCCTCCAAAGTGAGGGGAGCGTGGTGGTAAAAAGTGCCATTGACTGGCCTCAACCTAACAAAGCCCCAGGACCGCCTTCTGATCCAACAGATCTTTCCTGGCGCCGACAAAATTGGTTGCGTTATCTGACCAAATTTGACGCGGCCTTCGTCTTGTGCATATGAACCGCTTTAGGCCGTGCAGAAAAGAGACTGTAGACAAATCCTTGATCAGCTCCAAATGAACAGCCTTAGTCGCGAAGAAAATGAAGGCGCAGACGTAGCATTTGATTGGAGCCTTGTTGCGTGCCTCTGGCTTGTAGAAAAAAGGGCCACAAAAGTCTACGCCTGTGATCTCAAAAGCAAGAGAACCGTCTAGCCGCTCCTTCGGAATATCCGCCATGATATGCTCCAGTACTCTAGGCTTCGTTCGAAAGCATCTTACGCACTTGTTTACTGCATTGGTTACCGTTTTCCTCCCACCAATAGGCCAATATTGGGATCGGATTAATCCAAGCAGAGCTCGAGGTCCAGAGTGCAGATTCCGTTCGTGAAAGTGAGAAATGATTGTAAAAGTAAGCGAATGACTGCTGGCAGGATGATGGGATGACGGCCATAAAAATCCAACGACGAGTTCTTCAGCCGGGCATCAACTCTGAGAAGTTCGAAATGATCAATGAAAGGATTCAACGATACGAGGGAACTTCATGTCATCCCCATAGTTCCGTACGCTGGACTAGCCGCACCAATAACTGAGTTCCATGTTCAATGTCAGAAACAGTGAGTCCGGGGTGCCGAATCCGGTTGAGTTCGCATACTTGGACTCAGATACGATGTCTACGTAGGGCGATTTTACCAGAGCCTTCCGACGAAGCTCCAGGGTTGGCTTAATTCGTTCGTTTTCTTTCGTAGTGACCAGACGTGTTTTTGTTTTGCGCTCCGCATTTTCCTTTTGTTTAACTTAAACAGCCGGTGTTTTTTTTATCTATAATTTTAGCTCTCTAACTAACTTACATTAAAATCATATTTTTACCGCGGGTGCATGCCTGATAATTGTGTAAAACACAACTTATTTAATAAATTTTGTGCGTCGGTTAGTCGTGTGTTTGTGTTGTTGCTTCTCATTACATTTAGCTGCGCTTTGTCGTAGTTATTGCCGTCTATCACTCTCTCTATCACCTAACTCTCAATAACTGTTCTTTCGCTCTCGCTCTTGTAACTTTTTGTGCAGTAACGCTCTCACTTATAAGCTGTTGCTGCAACCACTCTCCTCTCTCATCTTTTACCGATTTCGCTTTAAGCATTGCTCTAAGCATTTGCTCTGCACAGTGGCCTGATTGCTATTTGTTTTGAACTTTTTTTTCCCGAAATAAAAAAAAATAAAAGACATAAATATGGAATTTTCTGTCGTCTGTGCCAAAAAAACCTGCAAGAAGCAGATCACCCATGACCAGCCCAATATCCCCTCTGGCTTTGCGAAAGCGTAGTGCGCGCAAAATGTGTAGGGATCTCGGGCCGTGTAGGAGACGCCATTTCCCAAAACAACGGCCTACATTATAGTTGTGACGAATGCCGTGCTGTGGAAAACGACATGCGTTCGTTCATGAGGCAGACGCGGAGTGGCTTCAAAGAGCTGGCCTCCACGCGCCGCCGAAGATAACACAGTCGGCGTAAACCTCAATACCGAAAACCTAAATACTCGCGCATCAAATTTGAAAACATTTGTCGATTTCTTACCGAATGCAAGGAATAAAAAAGGTTGCACTTCGCACAATCAATACCCTGTTGAACAATTATTTTACTGTGAAGTCAATTATCTGTTTATTTACATATTTATATTTATATATTGTTTATTCTATGTTAAAAGTATATTAGCATATAAAGGCTATACAAAATAACAGTTATGGGGCAAGCTTCTTCAAAAAGTGTCATAATACTAAGGTAAGGGGTATGTGAACTGAAAATACAGCATCGACGCAAAATGTGCATAGAAAAACCTATAACCAACCTGTTGAGCTATTAAGCGTTTCTAATAGGCCTAATTTTAAGAAAAGAGCCGAGAAGTTTAATTACATAACTATTTATAAATATGTAGTATCGGCAGTACGCGTATTTAATATAATTGCTAAAGGTATAGAGACCGACGGTTCTGAAGATCAATAACAGATTGATCGCAGGGCAAAATGGGTCGACACCCCTATGCCTAACGAGGGCGTGCGAGCATTATGGCAAAGTTCGGCGCGACTTCTGAGCCGAGTAGAACAAGAGAGCTGCTTAAACGCAACAGGTGCAGCAGCAACACGAAAGCAGCGGGAGACATAGCTGCAGGAAAAGCTGCTGCTGTGAGTAGGCATATGCGGTTTGCTGCTTGACCCGACATACTCCCCCCGGTTGAAGCCTTATTTTCAACAGCATCTTTAAGGGGAAGCAGACACAGCTTGTTAACGGCTCGCTTGGTGATTTCAGATGCATTCTTCAGAACAGCGACTCGGGCGACGCCATCTCTTCCGGGTAATAGCTCGACCAACCTAGCTAGTGGCCACTTCATGGGAGGCAGATTCTCAACCTTAACAAGGACCACATCTGCGACTGCCAAACTAGGCTTCGGCGTGCGCCACTTTGAGCGCTGTTGCAGTGAAATGATGTATTCTTCCTTCCATCGGGACCAGAAGATCTGCTGCAAATATGAAACGCGCTGCCATCCGTTCAGGCGATCGAAATTTAGCTGAGTTACGTCAGGCTCGGCGAACGAAGCAAGAGGTCCGCCATTCAAGAAATAAGCTGGAGTTAAAACGTCCAGATCGGCAGGATTCTCTGAAATGGATACTAAGGGTCTTGAATTAATAACTGCCGTGATGTGGCATAACAGCGTACGCAGTTCCTCAAATTCAAGCACCGAAGTGGCTATAGCACGATAGAAGTGATACTCTGCCGTTTTCACTGCAGCTTCCCACAGGCCTCCAAAGTGAGGGGAGCGTGGTGGTAAAAAGTGCCATTGACTGGCCTCAACCTAACAAAGCCCCAGGACCGCCTTCTGATGGTCGTCGCTGAGAAATAGGCGCTTTAGATCCAACAGATCTTTCCTGGCGCCGACAAAATTGGTTGCGTTATCTGACCAAATTTGACGCGGCCTTCGTCTTGTGCATATGAACCGCTTTAGGCCGTGCAGAAAAGAGACTGTAGACAAATCCTTGATCAGCTCCAAATGAACAGCCTTAGTCGCGAAGAAAATGAAGGCGCAGACGTAGCATTTGATTGGAGCCTTGTTGCGTGCCTCTGGCTTGTAGAAAAAAGGGCCACAAAAGTCTACGCCTGTGATCTCAAAAGCAAGAGAACCGTCTAGCCGCTCCTTCGGAATATCCGCCATGATATGCTCCAGTACTCTAGGCTTCGTTCGAAAGCATCTTACGCACTTGTTTACTGCATTGGTTACCGTTTTCCTCCCACCAATAGGCCAATATTGGGATCGGATTAATCCAAGCAGAGCTCGAGGTCCAGAGTGCAGATTCCGTTCGTGAAAGTGAGAAATGATTGTAAAAGTAAGCGAATGACTGCTGGCAGGATGATGGGATGACGGCCATAAAAATCCAACGACGAGTTCTTCAGCCGGGCATCAACTCTGAGAAGTTCGAAATGATCAATGAAAGGATTCAACGATACGAGGGAACTTCATGTCATCCCATAGTTCCGTACGCTGGACTAGCCGCACCAATAACTGAGTTCCATGTTCAATGTCAGAAACAGTGAGTCCGGGGTGCCGAATCCGGTTGAGTTCGCATACTTGGACTCAGATACGATGTCTACGTAGGGCGATTTTACCAGAGCCTTCCGACGAAGCTCCAGGGTTGGCTTAATTCGTTCGTTTTCTTTCGTAGTGACCAGACGTGTTTTTGTTTTGCGCTCCGCATTTTCCTTTTGTTTAACTTAAACAGCCGGTGTTTTTTTTATCTATAATTTTAGCTCTCTAACTAACTTACATTAAAATCATATTTTTACCGCGGGTGCATGCCTGATAATTGTGTAAAACACAACTTATTTAATAAATTTTGTGCGTCGGTTAGTCGTGTGTTTGTGTTGTTGCTTTTCGTAAGTACGCCCTCTCATTACATTTAGCTGCGCTTTGTCGTAGTTATTGCCGTCTATCACTCTCTCTATCACCTAACTCTCAATAACTGTTCTTTCGCTCTCGCTCTTGTTACTTTTTGTGCAGTAACGCTCTCACTTATAAGCTGTTGCTGCAACCACTCTCCTCTCTCATCTTTTACCGATTTCGCTTTAAGCATTGCTCTAAGCATTTGCTCTGCACAGTGGCCTGATTGCTATTTGTTTTGAACTTTTTTTTCCCGAAATAAAAAAAAATAAAAGACATAAATATGGAATTTTCTGTCGTCTGTGCCAAAAAAACCTGCAAGAAGCAGATCACCCATGACCAGCCCAATATCCCCTGCTGGCTTTGCGAAAGCGTAGTGCGCGCAAAATGTGTAGGGATCTCGGGCCGTGTAGGAGACGCCATTTCCCAAAACAACGGCCTACATTATAGTTGTGACGAATGCCGTGCTGTGGAAAACGACATGCGTTCGTTCATGAGGCAGACGCGGAGTGGCTTCAAAGAGCTGATCGTAGGCTTTAAACAGCAATATGATTGGCTGTTGGCCATGAACACTCAGTTCAGCAGTTTACAGCTGCTGGCTGAGTCTCCGAGGCGCAAGAGGTCTACTCCACGGGACTTGCAAGAGCCGACTGCCTCATGTCCGCCGGCATCTGAAAAACTTACTCCGACCACTCCCTTAGTGCAGCAGTTGATTACGTTTGCTACTCCAAGGGCAACGATCGCTGCTGGTGATGCAGATTCGGGAGCCGAACGCGTCACTTCGGAGAGTATGCACTTAGAAATGTCTGTAGAGTCCGTGTCCATCGAGTTCGCACCCAACCCCTTAACTATCCCCTCAGTTTCGCTCCCACCAGCTAATAGATGTCCAGGACCACCGGATACTGCCATCGCAGGTACTAGGCCTGTGGTGCCAAAACCACTGGTGGGAGTCCCACCAAAACGACAAGTTTTTGTATCGCGGCTAGCCCCCGACCTCACATCCAATGATGTGACCGCTTTTATACAAAGCAAAATAAAAGCCGTCGGCTTAAAGGTGGAAAAATTTAACTTTTCTTACGCCAGGGATATATCTTCCTTCAAGATAAGCGTCTCCCCAACTCAATTTGAAACCATTTGTTCCGCCAAATTTTGGCCGGAGCATTTGGTGGTTAAAGAGTTTAAGGCTAAGAAAAAGAATAGGCCCCCCATTACTCTTCCTAGCATTCAGACCAGTGCTCCATCTCCATCCTCATCTTCCACCTCTACTTCCACCCATCCAAAAAACTAACTTCCTCTCTTGTAGTTACCTACCAGAATGCTAGAGGCTTGCGTAGTAAGCTCAGCACTCTTTTCCTTGAGAGTCTCGCATTCTCATCCCACGTTATTGTGTTCACCGAGACCTGGTTAAAGCCGGACATCCTTAGTTCCGAAGTTTTGGCAGGTCGGTACACAATTTTTAGAAATGACCGTTCGTCTCGACGTGGAGTGGGGTCCTTATTGTAGTGGACTCAAACTTCACGTCGGAACATTTCATGGTTCGGGTTCAACAAGACCTGTCTCTTTCTCTTTCTCACTATGTAATAGCTCGGTCAAATTTCTCCGTTCTATAAAAACTACCTATCTCGATGCAGGATACGATTTTCACAGGACCCTAAACAGTTTTACAGCTTCGTAAATAGTAAGCGTAGAACGTCCGCACATCCATCCTCGTTATCTTTTTTCAGTATGTCAGCAAACAATGATGAGGCAATTGCCGATCTTTTTGCCATTTTTTTTTCAAACAACCTATTCTCATGAAAGCTACTCTGGTCAGCCGTATTTATACAGTTTACCAAGTTCGAATGGCATCTTCAGCCCCTTGTTAAATGAAAGCTCACTGCTTCATGATCTTCGACTAGTTAAGCCGGTGTTTTCACCAGGTCCCGACGGAGTTCCCGGCTGTGTACTTACGTACTGTGCCGACGCTCTGTGTGAACCCTTGCTTAAACTATTCACTCTATCCATTAACTCATCATGCTTTCCCCCCTCCCCACATCTGGAAGGAATCTTTTATTATTCCGCTCCATAAGAAAGGTAGCAAGTCTAATGCAAATAATTATAGAGGTATATCTAAGTTATCCGCTATTCCTAAAATGTTTGAAAAAATTTTAACTCCGCACTTGCAAAATCTCTACAAATCACTTATATCTCCGTCTCAGCACAGATTTATAAGGCGACGATCAACAACTTATTAGAGATTACCCCTTCTATCATTAAAGGCTTCCAAGGTAACTTGCAGACGGATGTCATTTACACTGATTTTAGTAAAGCATTCGATTCTGTAAACCATTCCCTTTTAGCACAAAAACTTGACCTTTTAGGGTTTCCGCCTAATCTTTTGAGATGGATTTCTAGCTACCTTCGTTCTAGGACTCAAAGAGTCCTCTTCAAAAACTCCTTCTCTTCACCAAATAAGGTTACTTCTGGAGTACCACAGGGCAGCCATCTAGGCCCCCTACTATTCACACTCTTTTTTAATGACCTGCCTTCAGTATTAACAAACTCTCGAGTACTCATGTATGAGGATGATGTTAAACTCTGCGTTCAGTATAAAGACATTTCGCTTGCAATCCGATCTCAATAGCTTTCAGTCATAGTGTTGTGCAAACATGTTACACCTTAATGCTTCGAAATGCAAAATAATGACATTTCATCACTCCAGCTCCTTTTTGGCTCCTTATAGTAGTTAGTCGTACAAAAATGCTTGGGGTCATTTTTATGCACAACCTGATCAAGGGTGACGTAGATATCCTTGAGCCGCATAAGCTCTACGATTCCTATTAGATCTACTAGAAACTTTATTTCATTGTTCGTTCCGCTTTGTAGATCAAATTATTCCTTGCACGAACCATTCACGAACCTCTATCATATAATGTCCACCACTAATTCCCTTTCTCTTCTTAAATCAATAATACTAACATACCTTTCCCGTAATTAGTACAATTTCTTAGCTATCTTTGCTCTTTGAGTTGTGTTTAGCTCTAATTTTCCTCGAATTTTAGTCTAACACCCTTCTTTCCTACATGCTCGCGATCGATTCGGTAACACGCGTCGCGCGTCATGCAGGGCCCTGACAGTTTTACCCGTCACAAGCAAAAGTGAAAAAGTGAACGCGAAACCGAAATCAAATAAGTGAAAATAATAAATAGAACTAATTGCCCTCCATAATCATTACTTCTACAGCACCATAGCACAACACCCCACTTTCGCCTTCCCCTCACTTCGGTCGCAACGGCCAGCCCCGTACTTAAAGTTCCGGTAAATCTAAAAAAATACACACACAGAAAAGAGGTTTTGTTTCAATACATGAATCTAAAATAAAACTAAATAATAGCTAAAGAATCTAAATTAAACGAGAAGGATCGTGTTAGTCGCTTCTGGGAACGCGACTCTACTTATACCCGTACTCAGTCAGTATATACATTTTTGAGATTATGATTTTTTTTAATTAAAAAACAAAAATTTACATATTTCCTTTTTTTGCTACATCTGTTATCTACATATACTATGTATATTCTACATCTAACATGTAGGATATACATGTACAATTTAGATTCTACATCATCTCCGCTAGAGGGCGCTCGTGCACTGAACGCGGCAGAGTGTGCGGTCTCCGGCTGAAGTAGGCGGGGGAACCAACAGAAAATTAATTTTTTCATTCTGGCTATAATTATGATCCGATCTGATTCAGAATCGGCAATCTGCCTGCTACAGGTTTTCGTCCTTTGTGGTGGCGGAAGGGGGCGGGGCGAAATACACTTGTAGCAGTGTGATATCACATGAGTCTGGAAACATGGCTATATCGACTCGGCTATTGATGCTGATCAAGAATATATATACTTTACGGGGTCGGAAACGTTTCCTTCTCTGCGTTGCACACATCCACAAATACAATATACCTCTTTACTCTTTTTTGAGTACGTGTATAAAAATGTCTGAATGGACATACGGCCAAGGTCTTACTGTGCAACGCAATAAAAATTATATTTTTTAAATTTAATTTAAAAAAATCACAATGTCCGACCATTTGTAGGCTATTGGCCTTTACACTAAGTCAGTCATTCGTTCTGTGACTAAACATTTACCCTTTTCGCTTGAGCTGGTGAAAAGACAAATGAAATTTTCTTTAAAATTTCGTTTTGTTAGGCCTTATATTGAGCTTTGATTGCTTCGAGTGCATATTGTAGAAATTATGTGCACATCTTAGCTAATTTGTTTTCAAATCGGTCTTCAACATCGTAAAGCTTTTAAGAGTACAGAGTAAATGATCAAAAATTTGACTCGGAATACGGGTTTTGCCATATCTTACAAAATGAATGTCATAATTGAGTACTTTGGAAGTTAAAAGTTTGGGAAAGCTTTTGGGATTCTTATCATGGATTGTACAAATAATTTCATCGAGATAATCGTAATCAGTGCCTTCAATGCTCAGAAGAAGATAAGATAGCTCGAAATAGATAAAACACACATTTTTAACTGAGCTTGTTAGTCATATACTTTTCATTCGTCTGTAAAGAGTCATTGCATATTTAGTTTTTCCGTTTAAAGCCAATTAAAAATATTATTTTGAAAATGAAATTTAAAAATAATTATGTTATAATCTTTACATTTTATTATTTTTTTTTAATAAATGTAACCACTCACGGAGATACTGATAACAACACATTATCCAGAGAAACAACAATTACAAAGGTATAGGTAATTATAATAAATTTGTTATTTTATCCAGAACCTTACTTTATTTAAATGGTTTTAACGGAACATTTAAGTGTCGTTTTGTTTTGTTAATTTTTAAAATTAAAGTTTACGAGGAGTTCGTTTAAAACACGAACAATGCGTTTAAATACGTCTAGAGCAGTTAAAGCAAGGAATGAATACTGTTTTTGGGTACCTTTATAAGCTCAATCGATTCATCGTTAATACAACAGCTATTATATTGAGCGCATCATTATTAAAAAATGTTTTTTTACAGTTTTAAAAATCAGTACGAGTATAAGTGGAAATATATAAAAATTTAATGTTAATACCTAAAATTCGGTAAAAATATTAATGCAGAAGTGAAAAAGAGTATGTTAGATTACATTTTGTAAGACCAAAGATATTTTAACTTGGAATACTTTTGGCATGGCTGAGAAGGAAGTATTATTAATGTATAGACGGAGCCGAGCGAGCAGTGGACGAACATACAGTGGAGCTCTGATACAAACTTATTATTAAATGCGAGTTAACTAACTTCCTTTCCGTTTATACTCTGAACTTATTTACTTCATGTATCATGTAACTGCCAAAAAAAGATAGGATCGCAAGATTTTAGATGGGACTGGCTTTATAGATTCGTTCTCTCTCTCTTTTCCAAATATCAATTCTGACCAAGATGCATTTAAATCTGTTTATCACATTGATAAATAAAATTTAAAATTTATCTATTTTCATTTCAGAACTTTGCACCTTTAAAAAAAAGCGATCTGTGTACAAAATGCACATGCGACTTAGCGAACAATTTAATCGATTGCACGAGAAACTTGAACAGTTTGCTTTCTAAGGAAGAATGGGATGTCTTAATGGACGGAGACTTTGTTCTTGAAACTATCAAGCTAGATCACAACAATATTAGTAAAATTCCAATTTTGCAAACATATGCTGTAAAAAATTTGTACTTAGGAAATAACCAGATAGATTCAATAGCTATCGGTGCCTTTCAAAATTTATCTGAAATGACCAGTCTAGATTTATCACATAACAAATTAACTTCAAAAGTTTTGCTACCAGATGTTTTTAGAGGACCCTATACCGTAACGGACTTTAAGGCGTTATATAATTTGAAATCGCTAAATTTGGGACATAATGACCTGCATTTTTTGGACGCAGATTTATTTGAGCATGTTCCAAACCTAGAAGAGCTTATTTTGTGCTCAAATAATTTTCAAATAATAAACGGAGTTTCAGAAGTGGCAATTTCAGGCTTGGCATCATTAAAGGTATGTAAATGCCATTTAAAATGATTTAGATGTATTTGATTTATTTATTAAGTTATTAGTTAATAATAAACAAGGTACAAGGTAACGTGACGTAGAGAGCCCTGACTTGTTGAGCCGCAACTTTACGATTCCTATTAGATCTACTAGAAAATTTATTCCTTTGTTCCTTCCTCTTTGTTGATCAAATAATTCCTTGAATGAACCGTTTAGGGTCTTATGCTCGGATTATAATTCGCTCTACCTTAAATTATCCACCACATATTCCTTTCCTCTTCTTAAATCAATAATACTTACATACATTTCTCGTAATTAGTACTATTTCTTAGCTATCGTTGCATGTTTAGCTATGTCTAAAGCTTAAGCTAACATGATTATGAGTAGGACAAAAAATTCTTGATTTTTAAATTACAGCTAAAGCGTCGTAGAACCTCGCTACGGTTGAAAATTCTGAGCGGCTTCGAAGACGATTGTAGGGCCGAAATAGAGAATAATTGTTTATATGAAACCGGGTCGCTTGTTCTCTTTTTTAGTGACCAGGTGTGTTTTTGTTTAGCGCTTCTCATCTTTTGTTTGTTTTCGATGTTTTGACACAATAATCTTTTAATATATTTCCAATATTAACTTAAAATCATAAAATCAACAGCGATTGCATTCCTTTTAATTTGTATTAAAAATATAAATGAATTATTTACTTTTGGGGTCGGTTTATCAAACCTGCCCGATGGCTTGGGCTGTTCGTTAGCGACGAGCCGAGAGGGCTCGAGACAACGCGGTACAATGCGGCCTTCGGCAATTTCAGCCTTTCAAATTAATAATTGAATAAGAGCTCAATACATTTTGTCACACTGAAACAGTTTTCAACTTGGAATGCTCTATCTCCTAAACTAAAGTTATCTTTAAAACTAAATTGGTGAAAGCTCTGGAAAATTCTTTATAAGATGAATATATTCATATAATCCAAAGCGCTCATAAAATTGTTGGACTTGTGCCACCTTTTATTGGCTGAGTCACTAATGTGCTGAGCTAAAACCTTTGACGAAGCCGGTTATATTTCCAAGGCTAAAAGAGAATTGAAGTACAAGCCCCGTGCGTCCGTATCATGAAGCCTTAAACTAAAAGTGAATGGACATTTATTCTTCTTGCAACATCTTGGAATTGTATAGTCTTTGCTATAACCCAAACCTTAGTACCAGTTATTCCTCTCTCGCTCGCGAAATTTATGTGCGTTCTCTCTTATGAGCTGTTATTGCAACCGCTATCCTTTCTCCTCTCAGTTTTTACTAATTTCGCTTCAAACCTTTGTTTGGCACATTGGACTAATGCCCATTTGTTTTTAAAATTTTAACCAAACAAAAATTAAACTTTATATGGAATACGCTGTGGTCTGCAGTAAAAAATGTACACAAAGCAGCTTACCTCCGAGCTATTAATGTAAAGGCCTCATTATAGTGGCGATGAATGCCACGCTATTGAAAACGACATGTGGTCGTTGGTGAGACAAACGCGGAGTGGGTAAGCGTGGGCTTCAAAACGCAATACGATTGACTATAGTCCAACGACACTCAGTTCAGCAGTTTGCAGTCTACTCCGCCCATTCCGATCACACCAATAACGTACCGGACAACCGGAGTTGGCCATCGCCATGCCTGTGGTGCCAAACCCATTCGTGGGAGTCCCACCAAAGCGGCAAGTTTTTGTCTCACAGCTTAGACCTCGCAACTAATGATTTAACTGCTGCTGCACAGAGCTAAATAAAAGGCGTTGGCTCAAAGGTATAGACGTTTAATTTCTCTTATGCCAGGGTGATAACTTCCTTTAAGGTATGGGTCTGCTCGACTTCCCTAACAGAATCAGACCAATGCTCCATCCTCATCTGCCCGCTCTACTTCTACACATCTTTTAAAAAAGTACCCATATTATAGTAGCTTATCAGAGCGCTAAAAGCTTACGCAGTACTCTTTTATCTCTTTTTACCGGTTGTGCCAATGAGTTTGAGAATAAATTAAATAAATTGTCAAAAACTTTGAAGAAATACATCAGAACGCGTTGTAACTCCAAAAATAAAACTATGTGGAATAATCGACATGCAACATGAAATTCAGAGCTTACTTCTGCAAAATAATGGACTTAAAAGAGTGTCGGAAACTGATTTGCATGTGATTAGCTCACTTCTAGATTTTATGATGCCTTTTAAAGATTGCTTAAAGCAGCTTAGTGCTGATAAAGAGCCCACTTTACATATTTACGTTTTCTGGTATGAAAAACTAAAGATACATTGCCAATTTGATGATATCGATTCAGATGTGACCAAAGCGTTGCTAGCCCGAGGCCTTCCGCTCACTATACCTGAAGACTCCTACCATCCTACATTCAACGAGAAGGAACGTGCGAATCGCTTCTGGGGACGCGACTCTACTTATACCCGTACTCAGTCAATATATATATTTTTGAGCATATAATTTTTTAGAATTTTAGAATTAAAAAAAAAAAATTTTACACTTTACATTTTTTTTGCTACATCTGTTATCTACATCTACATTTATTATGTATATTCTACATCTAACAAGTAGATTAAACATGTACCATTTAGATTCTACATCTCCTCCGCTAGGGGTTGCTCGCGCACTGAACGCGACAGAGTGTGCGAGCGAGAAGGAAAATGACTTGCGTTGTCGTTGTCAGGAGGGGGCAGGGGAAGCGACTGAAAATTAATTTCTTCATTCTGGCTATAATTATGATCTGATCTGATTCAAAATCGGCAGTCTGGTAGATATGGTCATTCTCTACGATACTGCGTTTTTAATTTTAGCGTATCTTTAAAAATGTGCCTGCCACAGATTTTCGTCCTTTGTGTGGGCGGAAGGGGGCGGGGCGAAATTTTGAAATACACTTGTAGCAGTGTGATATCACATGAGTGCGGAAACCAAATTTGGTTGCCCTATCTCTTATAGTCTCTGAGATCTAGGCGCTCAACAAGACGGACAGACAGACAGACAGACGGACAGACGGACAGACAGACATGGCTATATCGACTCGGCTATTGATGCTGATCAAGAATATATATACTTTATGGGGTCGGAAACGTTTCCTTCTCTGCGTTACACACATCCACTTTTACCACAAATCTAATATACCCCTTAACTCTTTTTTGAGTACGGGTATAAAAAGTCGGTCGATATTGGACCTATTGTATAGGATCAAACGGATAATTTTTTGAACATGTCCGATGCTTTCGTAAAGCCGAGTTTAAAAAGCTTAATAGCCCCATTAGGGATTTTGATTGGTCCGCTCTGTTCTTGTGCACTGACGTTATTTAAGACACACAATTTTTTTGTGGACACAATTTTTGATACGTGTGTCCGCCTTTTTTGCCCAATTAGATGTGGGAAACCCCTTAGTTCCCCAAAGAGTTTTCCAGTATAAAACTCTTAAAATAAAAACTATCAAAATCTTCAAGAAGTATGTTCTTATTCTTCTCTCTCTCTCGCTGTGTATTAGGTTAGGTTAGGTTAACCCAGACGGCCCTCACGGGGCCACGCATAGGCCAATATGGCCCTTAGCCGGCTGTGTATTAGCTCGGTCGAATTTCTCCGTTATTAACGCTCAATACTGGCAATCTACGTTACCCATGACGAATTGTGCATTTAAATCATACCAAGCATTTTTCTGCGGCTAACTAAGGCTAGAAGGTTCATGGGGGGGGGTAAGTATGGTATGGTGGTAAGATGGCAGTCTCACACTTGCATCCCAGTTAAGGCCTCGCAGAGCAAAAAGTAAAAGGTTTTACTGGACTAATTCTTTATGGTCTTGGTGTATTTTGTACTTAGGGAAAATAAATTCTGTCTGCAAGTTACATTGGAAGCCTTTAATGATAAAAGAGGTGACGTCTAATAAATTTGTGGTTGTTGATCGTCGTCTTTATAAATCTGAGCTGATCTGGATACATAAGTGATTTGCAGAGATACGGCAAGTGCGTAGTTAAACTTGCCTCAAACACTTTAGGAATAACCTGTAATATTCTTTGCGTCAGTCTTGCTACCTTTGTTATGGATAGGATGATACAAGATTCGGTCTAGATTGGGGGAAGCATTAAGAATTAATGGATAGGGTGAATAGTACCTGAGTACACAGACGAGAACTCCGTCAGGACCTGGGTTGTTTGGAAAAATTGGGCAAAAATATCGGCAATTATATGATCACGATTTAAGAAATGATAACGAGAATGGATGTGCGGACGTTCTACGCTTACTGTTTACGAAGCTATCCTGCATCGAGATATGAGCGTGTGAGGACCTATCTCAGGCTGAGATATGCATCTCAGAGACTATAAAAGCTAGAGGAACCAAATTTTATTTCCAGACTCATGTGATATCACACTGCTACAAGTGTATTTCAAAATTTCGCCCCGCCTCCTTCCGCCTCCACAAAGGACGAAAATCTGTGGCAGGCACAATTTTAAAGATACGATAAAACTAAAAACGCAGAGAATGACCATATCTATCAGGTGGCCGAATCTGAATCGGACCAGATCATTATTATAGCCAGAATGAAGAAATTGATTTTTAGTTGTTTCCTCTCGGAAACCTACTCGGTTATGTTGACCGACTGACCACGACGTGTATTGTAGTTCTTGACTCCCGATGGACGGCCGATCGACTGCCTCGTCTCTACGCCAGGCAGTACCTTTTATGGATCGGCCGGCCATCGATTTTCCCACCAATGCCATACAGATATCTTATTTCTATTTCGGAAAGTTGGAAGGTTCTTACATATACATATATTGCCGAGTGGATTTCCCGGTTGCAGAGGGTTACCTATCCCAACCTCCCACCAAGTGTCCAATGTCCCAGGTAAGGTGATCGGTGTGCACCGGTCCCGAGGGAAAGGAATTTCGTTAAAACTTCGTGAATATATTTTTAGGAATATTTATTTATTTAATATTATTTTAGGTACTAATTGCGTAAGCCCCCTTGTGCCGGTCTCCTGTCTTTTAGCACGTG